GATGTTTCAGCCCAGCCAAGGCTTGTCCATATCCAAACAGCCCACACATGGCTCGGCAGAGGTAGAGACCTAGCCTAATTCATCCCACATCTACCCTGGTCCTCAGGAGCACCAGATGGTGTTGGAGTCTAGCCCGGCTTGGTGCATCCAGTCCCAGTTCACACTTGTGCTGAGAGACTGCAGCCATATCCAGACCAGAACCCAGCAGCCCCCACTCCTGCACCCACGCTCCTCAGTGGGAACCGCAACCCAGCTAGTGCATCCCCTTCCCAGCCATAGATTGTATGCATGCCAGTGGCTGCTCTGACTCAGTTTGGCATAGCCCCTCACCTGTCTTGGCCTTTGCCTTTGATGCCGTGTCTTAGCGTCCCTGGCTCATGCAGACCAGTAGGTGTAAGAGCCTAGCTCGGCATGACCTGGGCTCCATTCTGATTTCTATTTTTGCTTCTGAGCTAAGGTTTGCTCAGTCCTGCCCGGTCCACCCTGTTCCATTACCAACCCACACATCAGCCATCCACTGGAGCTACTTTGCCCAGCTTGTCCGACCCCCAGGTCTGGACTACGTGTTTACCCGCAGGAGCTATGACCCACCAGAGGAGTTTCCCAAGTTCCTCCACTTGATCCACTCCCAGACCCAGTTCTCATACATGCCATTGGGTTTAGGGCCAGTGCCCGGTACAGTCTGGCCTTCCATTTGGCCTTGTATGAGCTGGTGAATGTTGTAGCCCGACCCACCCCACACCCTATTCAGGATGCACATTTGGGTGCTACTGCCTTGACCAGTCCAGACCGCTGTTGGTTCCTTTACCTGTGAGTGATGGCAGGCTCCTTGGTCACACTTAGCTTAGTCCATTACCACCCCAACTCTTGAGCTAATCAGTGGGGCTAGTGTTTCCACAGGGTTTGGCTCACACATCCCCCACAGAATCTACCCCCCCGGAAAAGGTTCTCTCGTGTGCTAGTTAATGTCACGGCCCTGCCTAATGTGATCCGTCCCCGATCCATCATTATGTCAGGCATTAGGATATGGTCCTGCTAGACAAGCCCCAGCCTTAGCTTTTGCATGGAGTGGTGTACAGTGGTCAGCATTATTCAGTGATAACAAGTTCTACATAGGACTCAAAGGAGGCTGGTATATCAGTCTTACCCATAAAGGTCATCTGGTCCCTCTCCTCCAACCTACCAGGTCTCAGTACCCTTGCTTACCTTCAAAGGAAAAGTTACTTTGTTAGGAGTCTTCAGGATTGATTTGCAACCCAGAAGCACAGTGGGCTCAACATGGAGGTGCTTAAGCAGCAATTCACAGCCCCAAACCCCAGGGCTCGCCACTCGCCACTCGGCAGCCAGCAGGCGGAGCCTGGGACCAAATGGCATACTGGCCGCCCGGGGACAGTTCACTGCATGTACGCAGTGGCTGGAATCGGGGCTCCAAGCATGAAGATGGACCTGGCCTAGAACCTCTGGCCTTTTTCTTTAAAATTAAAGATATTTATTTATTTATTTGAAAGGCAGAAAAACACAGATTCTCCAACTACTGATTCACTTTCCAAAAGTCTACAATAACTGCACTGGGCCAGGCCAAGGTCAGAGGATTCAATCTGGGTCTCCTCCATGGGTGACAGGAACCAAGTATCTGATATACCAGCTGCTGCTTCCCAGGGAATACATTAGCAGGAACCTGGAATGGGAAGTAGATTCAATTTCAAGACTCAATCCCAGGGAATGTGATATGGGATACAGGTATCCTAGGCTGCGCCTTAGCCAGTGGGCCAAACACCTGTCCCCAGTGCATGATCAAAAAAACACCTACATCAGGGCCAGTGTTATCACATACCAGGATAAAGCCACATGCACCTGCAGCACCAACATCCTTCCTATATGGGTACCAGTTCAAGTCCCAACGGTTCCACTTCCAATCCAGCTCCCTGCTGACACACTTGGGAAAGCAGCAAAGGATGATCAATGTGCTTGGGCTCCTGCTACCCACGTACGAGACTCAGATAAAGTTCCTGGCTTCAGTCAGGCTCAGCCATCTGAGGAGTGAACCAGCAAATAGAAGATTACTCTCTTTCTGTTGCTGTAACTCTGCCTTTCCAACAAATAAATAAATCTTTTAAAAAATAATTGATTTCTTAAAAATATTTACTTATTTTTATTGGAAAGTCAAATTTACAGAGAGAACATACAGAGAGATTCATTGATTCATTTCCCAAGTGGCCGCAACAGCTAGATCTGAGCCGATCTGGAGTCAGGAGCCTCTTCCGGGTCTCCCACGCAGGTGCAGCATCCCAACACCTTAGACCATCCTTGACTGCTCTCCCAGCCCACAAGCAGGGAGCTGCAAAAGAAGTGGGGCAGCCAGGATACAAACCGGTACCCAAATGGGATCCCGGCAGATGCAAGGTGAGGATTTTAGCCACTAAACCATGCACTGGGCCCTAAACACATCTTTGATAAAAAATAAAGAGAGCAGTGAGCACTGTCCTCCAATATTAATAAAAATGGTCCTTGTGGTCCAAAGTCCTTCTGCCCAGACTGTAGCAGGACAGATATGTCAACACATCATCACTACCTTACCTTTTAAAATTTCTTAAAAAAAAAACAAAATCAAATGTAACTTATAGGGCCCGGCACGGTGGCGCAAGTGGTTAAGGTCCTCGCCTTGCACGCCCGGGATCCCATATGGGTGCCGGTTCTATCCCGGAGCCCTGCTTCCCTTCCAGCTCCCTACTTGTGGCCTGGGAAAGCAGTCAAGGATGGCCCAAAGCTTTGGGATCCTGCACCCGCGTGGGAGACCTGGAAGAGGCTCCTGGCTTCGGATCGGCATAGCATCGGCCGTTGCGCTCACTTGGGGAGTGAATCATCGGATGGAAGATCTTCCTCTCTGTCTCTCCTCTCTGTATATCTGCCTTTCCAATAAAAATAAATAAATCTTTAAAAACAAATGCAAAAAAAAATGTAACTTATAAAGGAAGGAAATGTAAGGTAATTTTCACAAAACTAAGCCCCATTAATTGGTAACAATAAAGCTGGTATTACTAAGGAAAAATGATAAATGTACAGTACAATGTTTTTAAAATATGAACTTGAAGCAATGCTCACTGTAACCCTGCGATTAAGTAGAGTTGACTTCAATCCACGGTGTAATCCCTAGGAAGTATTTAGATGCTGTGTCTCCAATGGGCCATGGATATACCTTACACAGTTGTATTTATGCTTAATACAGAAAATACCATTATAGTGCAAGGCCCATTAAACTTGTGTTAGTTAGACAATAAAATTTGCTTTGGAATGAAAAAAAAGTGGCAGAGATAATAAGGTTGCAAGATTACAGAGACAAAGATTATCTTTGTGGAACCCTTTGCTGGATCTTGAAGAGTAAGATCAGCACAGCCTTGAAGCGGTCAAGAGAGGTGTAACACCACAATGCGCCCAGATTCAAGAAACGGTACGACTGCTGAGGCAACAAAAAAGAGGCTGGAACTTCGATAGCATCAGACACAGACCTGGTGATAGCAAGAAACACGCTTGAATGGGCTGGGTAAGGTCAGATCACAGACCTGAGGCCTCTGAATTACCCTCCAAGTATTGGGAACCGAAGTCCTCCGAGAAACAGCAACCATGAGGCTGCATATACAATAAGATCAGAATGATACAGACAACATTCATGCAAATCTGTGAAGGGTTCCATATTTGTATAGTGTCAAAGAGCAATACAATCATATTCAATGTACTGGAAAAAAAGAAAGCAACTATGCAATCAAGCTTGTAGTAAGTTAAACTTGACAGTACAAAGATCTGAGGCACCAAGCAACCTATTATAAAGCTGCTCCAGGGCCTGGTGCAGTAGCCTAGAGGGTAAATCATCCCCTTACACGCACCATGATCCCATATGGGTGCCACTTTATGTCCCAGCTGCCCCACTTCCCATCCAGCTCCCTGCCTGGGTAAGCAGTAGACTGGCCCACAGCTTTGGGACCCTGCACCAACTTGGGAGATCTAGAGAAGCTCCTGGCTCCTGGCTTCAGATCAGTTCAGCTCAGCTCAGCGCCAGCCACTGCAGCCACTTGGAAGATCTTTCTTCCTATCTATCCTTCTCTCTGTAAATCTGACTTTCCAATAAAAATAAATAAAAAAATCTTAAAAAAAAAAAGTTACTCCAGATTCAGGATAAACAGAGGAAAATGAGATGAAGTAACCCCATGTGAAAAAGATGGAGTAGTAAGAATCAAGCATGTTGAGCTCGGTGCTGTAGCCTAGTGGCTAAAGTCCTTGCCTTGTATCCAGCAGGATATGGGCACCGGTTCATATCCCTGCTGTTCCACTTTCCCTTTAACTTCCTGCTTGTGGCCTGGGAAAGCAGCCTTGGGACCCTGTACCTGCGTGGGAGACCCAGAGGAAGCTCCTGGCCCCTGGCTTTGAATCAGCTCAGCTCCAGCAGTTTTGGCCACTTGGGGAGTAATCCAGTAGATGGAAGATCTTTCTCTCTGTCTCTCCTTCTCTCTGTAAATCTGCCTTGCCTTTCTAACAATAATAAATAAATCCTTAAAAAAAATCAAGCAAATACCCTGACTGGAGGGTGACCTTACCAATGTTCTGGAAATGACAACAGATGTGGAATAAAATATGCGAGCAAAAATATGTCGATAATCAAACCATTGATTCAAGGGCAGGTACTTGCTTCAGCAGCAGTTAAGTCACTGCTTGGGCTGCTCCCAGCCCATTTAGAAGGTGCCAGATCAAGTCCCCATGACTCCCTTCCAATCCAGCTTCCTGCTGGATCCTGCACACCCAAGGAAGCAGCTGATAACGGCTCTAGCACTTGGGCCTTTGCCACCCAATAGGGAGATTTAGAGAGAGTTTCAGCTCCTAGATTCTGCCTAACCCAGTCCTGGCTATTTCAGGCACTGAAGAGAAAATATAAGTTAACAGGCAATCTCGCTGAATTTATCTTTTGAAAAATAAGGGAGATAATACTTTTTACATTAATCTAAACTTACCCTCTGCAAGATCTGAGCATGATGTGCCAATAGCTGTGTCCCCACTATCAGCTACACTCGGGCAGCGGCTGAAGCGGCTCCGAAACGCCTCCGAGAGCACTGGGGTCTGCCATTCAGCCCCCAGGGAACCAACCTTCTGAACTGCACTGGGACCTGAAACAAAGAGGCATTTTCCACCGTTAGTGTGAACCAGCTGAGATTACCTGTCAGTCTGTTAAAAAAAAAAAAGGCACTGCAACCTACAAAAAGAGCAGCATTGTACCCCTTTCCCTCCTGAGCTTCATTGTAGCTACACTGAGCTAGTTGATTTTAATTATAGAAGTGAGAATGTTCAGGACAGAAATAAGACCAAGAAGTCCCGTTTGCTGGGACAGAAAATCATATTTAGCAGCAGTTACTGTTTACTAAAACCTAGACGCCTCAGCACCTTTACAAACACGATCTCACGCACTGCTGCCACGTGTCATTCCTGTTCCACAGAGGACAGAGCTGGATCTAAGCCTGACTTGTTGCTAATGACAACTCTGCAGCATGAAGTCTGTGTAACCTACACTACAGAATGCTTTGGCATCCCTGGTCCCCATCCACTAAATGCCAACAGCAACCCTCACCCAATCCTACCAGCACTGTAAAAGTAGAAAATATCCCATTCATTTCCAAATATCTCCTCAAGTAACAAGACAATCCAGACTCCATTATTTGAACCAGGGTACCCTCACTGGTGGATTCAGATCAGATCAAGGTAAATTTGGAAAGTCAACCGGAAGATTTCAAGGCTTAATTTTTAATTTTTTTAAATATTTAGTTTATTTGAAAGGCAGTTACAGATAAAGGAGAAATAAAGATTTTTCCAACTACGGGTTCACTCCCCAATGACAGTACTGAGTCAGATCCAAGGTAGAAGCCTGCTAGTCCACCTGGGCTCCCCATGGGCATGGCAGGGCTAGGCACATGGGCCATCCTCTGCTGCTTTCCCAGGCACACTGGCAAGCAGCTGGGCTGGGGGGGACTCAAGCAAGTGCTCACATAAAATGCTGCCATCACACACAATGGTTTAACCCACTGTGCCACAATGGCAGCTCCAAGGCTTGAGGTTAATACAATGAAAGTTATAAATCTTCTAAGCAAGCAAGCAATAAACAAATAAATAAAAAGTCTAAGATTTGACTTTAAATTTGCTGTTCGAGAGCCAGTAGGTGTGAGGCATTCTGTAAATATTTGATTTAGTAACATACTAGCAAAGACAAATTAATTTTTAAAAATCACAAATTTTTCCTTTTTTTTTCCTTATTTTTAAATATTGATTTTATTCAAAAGGCACAGTTTCAAAGAGTGACAGAAGGCTCTTTCATCCACTGGATCACTCCCCAGATGGCTGCAAATGGCCGACCCAGATGAGGAAGAGGGCAGACACATCAGCAGGGAGCTGGATCAGTAGACCAGCCAGGACCTGAACAAGCACTCATACAAGATGCCAGCATCATAAGCAGTAACTTAACCTGCAAGGCTGGCCAGTAAAAATCACTACCATCTTCCTAAGTCGTATCCTAAAGATCTATAAAAATAACAGCAATGACTTATCCTCCATTTAACCTAAGCTGTCAAAGCTGAAATTAAAACCAGAAAATAAGATTCTACAGATATTGATCTAGCAGGAAGCAAGTAATACTTGAACAAAAATTATTTTTTCCAAATATTTCTCCTATTTATAAATAACTTTTTTTCACTTTTGCTCTTTTCTTTTTCCTGTTATCCCTACTTCTGCCATCTAATTTATTCACCCTAACTTCCCCAAGGACTCCTCTCCACTTTGGGTCATTACAGAGTGCCTGATCTGAGAGAATTTTCCCAATCCATATGTATTTGTGAATTCGACGTATCTGAATAGAAGACTCAGGCACCAGTCCAAGCCTCCGCACAGCCCAAGATGAGCCAGCGTTACCGCGGCACTACCTCAGTGTAAGCCTAGACTGAAGCACGGAAACCCAAGCTGCTGGCAAGTCCACACACCTTCATCTCATTAGCCAGTCCGTTCCAACTGATTGTCCCTGTTACTACTAGCCCCCCACTGGAAACCATGCCCCATTCCTCCTCCTAACCTCCCTCTCATCAACACTACTTTTCTGTCCACACACTCCATTACCCAAAACTAAAGAAATATTTGGTTAAAAACAATCAGAGGCCAGTGTTGTGGGGCAGCAAGTTCAGCCATCACTTGATGTACCATCCACTTGGTGGTTCAAGTCCCAGCTGCTGTACTTCCAATCTAGCTTCCTCCTAATGCACTTGGAAAAGCAGCAGGAGATGGTCCAAATGCTTAGATTCCTGCACCCATGCAGGAAACCTGGATAAAGCGTCTGGTTTCACCTGGCCAAACCCTGGCCAATGCAACAATTTGAGGAACAAACTAGTGGATGAAGATTTCTCTCTCTCCCTCTGTAACTATGTCATTCAACTAAATAAATAAATCCCTAAAAATAAAATATTTATGGTATATTTATACATGCTTATACTTACTTCAAAATTCAAATGTGAAAGCTAAAGTTTTTAAAGTTATAATATGTCTCCTACCAATTATTAAGATCAGTAATCTGAATGACATACTGATGAAAAGAGACAAATGCAGTGAGCTGTTAAGAATTTCATTTAAAAACAACTGCATCATAGGAGCCAGTACAGCGGTAGAGCAGGCTAATCCCGAGCCTGCGGCACTGGCATTCCACATCGGCCCCGGGTTCACATCCTAGCTGCTCCACTTTCCATTCAGCTTCATGCTCATGGCCTGGGAAAGCAGCAGAGGATGGCTCAAGTTTTGGGGACCCTGCACGCACATGGGAGACACAGAAAAAGCTCCTGGATCTCAACTTTGGATCAGCTCAGCTCTGGCCACTGAGGCAATTTAGCTGGTGAACCAGCAGATGAAGATCTCTATCTCTCCTCTCTCTGTAACATCTGCTTTAAAAAAAAAAACAAATCTTAGAAAAATTCGCATTGGGTCCAGTGTAGGAACCTAGTGGCTAAGTCCTCGCATTGCATGCGCCGGGATCCCATATAGGCAACTGGTTCTGACCTCGGCGGCCCGGCTTCCCATCCAGCTCCCTGCTTGTGACCTGGGAAAGCAGTGGAAGACAGCTCAAAGCCTTGGGACCCAGCCCCCGCGAGGCAGACCCGGAATAAGCTTCCTCTCTGTCTCTCCTCTCTATATCTATCTGACTTTGCAATAAATAAACTTTTTTTAAAAAAAATTAAAAACATAAAATAGCAAAGGTCAGATTTTACTCCAAGAAAGTTTCTGACTACTCACCTGGAGAGGCGGCATGGGAAACCCTTTCCCCGGTGTATTTCTCCTGCATGGCCATCACAGACCTGAGCTGCACAACAAAGAAATGACAGGTCAGACACCCCAGCATCTTCTGACTCCCTGTAACAGTTCTCACTCAACTGAAACTATAAAGCCACGTAAGAACACAAGAATGCCAAGAACTCAGTCTCTGGGGCGTAGCAGTGACACTGCCACCTGGGACAGTCAAGGCCCACGTTGTAGTGCCCAGTTCAGGTACTGGTGACATAGCTATTGCTCCAGCTTCGTGCCACTGCACACTCCAGGCACCAGAAGGGATGGATCAAGTGCATAGGAGATTTGGCTGGAGTTCTGGACTCTGACTACAGCTTGACCCAAACCAGGCTACTGTGGATATTTGGGGTGTGAACCAACAGATGGAAGGTCTCTCTTGTTCTGCCTTGGAAATAAACAAACAGGGTCTGGTGCGGCAGCCGAGCAGCTAAAGTTTCAACCTTGAACGTGCCAGAATACCAAATGAGTGCAGGTTCTAATCCCGGAGGCTCCGTTTTCTATCCAGTTCCCTGCTTGTGGCCTGGGAAAGCAGTGTAGGGCAGCCTAAAGCCTTAGGACCCTGTACCCGTGTAGGAGATCTGGAGCAGGCTTCTGACTTCGGATTGGCTCAGCTCCAGCCACTGCAGCTGCTTGGGGAATGAATCAACAGAAGGAAGATCTTCTCCGTCTTTCCTCCTCTCTGTATATCTGAATTTCCAATAAAAATTTTAAAAAATAAATTTTTTAAAAGGAAAATCAGGGCCCGGCAGTGTGGCCTAGCGGCTAGGGTCCTTGCCTTGAACACACCAGGATCCCATATGAGCGCCAGTTCATATCCCGGCAGCTAAACTTCCCATCTAGTTCCCTGCTTGTGGCCTGGGAGAGCAGTCGAGGACGGCCCAAGGATTTGGGACCCAGCACCCGCATGGGATACCTGGAAGAAGTTCCTGGTTCTCAGCTTCAGATCGGCATTAGCACCGGCCGTTGCGCTCACTTGGGGAGTGAATCATTGGACAGAAGATCTTCCCCTCTGTCTCTCCTCTTCTCTGTATATCTGACTTTGTAATAAAATATAAATCTTTAAAAAAAAAAGGAAAAAAACAAACAGAGTTTCTTCCTATTACTGACAACGCTGTAGCACCAGGTGCCACAGGATTTTCCTCTAATTTAGTTGAGTTCAATTCCAGCACTGCCCACCTAGGACAGCATCAGATTCCACAGGCTGTGGACTCAGTCTCATAAGAATATCCCCAACTTTTTTTTTTTACATTTATTTTTATTGTAAAAAATAAGTCAGATTTTGCAGAGAAGGATCTTCCATCCACCAATTCACTCCCCAATGGCTGCAACGGATGGAGCTGAGCCAATCCAAAGCCAGGAGCATCTTCCGGGTCTCCCACGTGGCTACAGGGTCCCAAGGCTTTGGGTGTCCTCGACTGCTTTCCCAGGCCACAAGCAGGGAGCTGGAAAGGAAGTGGAGTAGCCAGGACACGAATCAGCGCCCATATGGAATCCTGGAACATGAAAGGCAAGGACTTTACCCCTAAGTTATGGCACTGGGCCCTATCCCCTCACTTCTAAGGCTCAGTTATCTACTTGAAAGGCTGAATGTCAAGGTTAGGGAAAAGAGAGTTATTTTTCTGTTCAGTCACTGGTTCACTCTACAGTTGGCCATCAATAGCTAGGGCTGAGACAGGCTGAAACCAGGAGTAAGGAATTTCATCCAAGTCTCCCACATGGGTGACAGGTCTCAAGCACTGGAGCCATCATCATCCCAACTCCCAGGACACTTTAGTAGGAAGCTAGTTCAGAAGCAGAGCAGCCAGGACACCACCTGGCAGGGACTATGATATAGATGCTGTCCTGGCAAGTGGCAGCTTAACCTACTACACCACAATGCTGGTCCCTGTTTCCAATTCTAATGCCAACTGAAAGCCCTAGATTGCTTTCTTTTTTGGTTTTAAGGGATTAGGGAAGAAAGACCGATGATGAACTTGTATTTTCTTCTTTTTAAACTGGAAAGGCAGATTAATTTGCAGACAGAAGGAAAGACACACAGAGAGAAATCTTCCACCTGCTGGCTCACTCCCCAAATGGCTGCAATGACTGGAGCTGAGCCAATCCAGTCAGCAGCCAGAAGCTTCTTTTGGGTCTCCCACACGGGTGCAGGGTCCCAAGGCTTTGGGCTGTCCTGTATTCCTTTCCCAAACAGGAAGTTGGATCTGAAGTAGAGAAACTGGGAGACAAACTAGTGCCCATATGGGATCCCAGTGCTTGCAAGGTGAGGATTCAGCATTGAGGCATTGCACCAGACCCCAAAATTCTTAATTTATACGAGAAGAGTTTGGGACAAATCCCAGAGCACAGTTTTTAGAGGTGACATTTGGTTTGGAAACAAGAAGCTGTATGGGGCCATCCCCAAGGCACGCCCCTGACCTCCTCGGCTGTCTCTCAGGAACAACCACCCAAGCCTTCTCAATTCGCTGTGCAACACAAACAACACCACTCTCCAAGAACCCAGCCCTCACAGGGGGGTGAGAGAAGCTCTGTTCAGTAATTAAAGCTCCGGTCCTTGACTAGGACCATCAAAACAGAGAGCTATCCAACTCATGGCGTGGGAGTTAATGATGACACACAGAAAGATAACTGCCTACCCACTTACGTTCTTTTTGCTGTCCTCTTTTTGGGCCCAGCGCAGCAGCCTTGCAGCTAAAGTCCTCACCTTGCACCTGCCAGGATTCCATATGAGCACTGCTTCTAATCCTGGCGGTCCTGCTTCCCATCTAGCACCATGCTTGTGGCTTGGGAAAGCAGTAGAGGATAGCCCAGAACCTTGAGACCCTGCACCCATGTGGGAGACCCAGAGGGGGCTCCTGGCTTCAGATCAGTTCAGCTCTGGCTGCTGCAGCCACTTGTGGAGTGAATCAATGGACAGAAGACCTTCCTCTCTGTCTCTCCTCCTCTCCAATAAAAAATAAATCTTATTTTTTAATCCTTTGTTTATCTCTTTAAGTACAGCAATATCGCAAGTTCAATACATTCTGAGACCTTTTCAAATTCAGATGAGCTGAAACCATGACAACCAGCAACAGGCCCAGAGTGGGCGAGCCTGGGGGCCTTGAGGCCAGGGTTCCTTAAGGAAGCCCTCACCCCAGCTGGCACTACTCTAGGTCACAAGGCCAGAGGTGTCCTATAGGGGGACCAGTTCCTGTCCCAGTTGCTCCACTTCTGATCCAGCTCCTTGCTAATGTGCATAAAAAAGCAGAATATGGCCTAAGAGCCTGGGCCACCACCATCCATGTGGACGACCTGGAGTAGTTCCAAATTCTAGACTCCAAGACCTGGCCTGGCCCAGCCATGGGTATTTTGGTCTCTTGGAGAGTGAATTAATTCTGATTTTTCAAGTAAATAAATAAATACATTTTTTAAAAGCCTTCAAATTCATACATGGCTTTTGTCACAATATACATTTTCCATGCACTTTCTGAAGACCTCCTCATATGATGTAAATACTGTGTAAATAGCTGTGATGCTTGATTGTCAAGGAATAATGACAAGAAAAAAGCCTGCACATGTTTAATAAAACAGTTCTTTCTGAATACTTTCTAATCATAATTAGTTGAATTTGCACATGTGGAACTCAGATTTGAAATATCAACTGAATATTCAAGAGAACTGAAAACATGTTCACACAAATGTACGAACAATAGGCACAAAGCAGAAACAATCCACATAGCCACCGGGCCCAGCAGCATGGCCTAGCAGCTAAAGACCTCGTATTGCATGCGCCGGGATCCCATATGGTCTCTGGTTCTAATCCCAGCAGCTCCACCTCCCATCCAGAACCTGCTTGTAACCTGGGAAAGCAGTAGAGGATGGCCCAAAGCATTGGGACCCTGCACCTGTGTGGGAGACCCGGAAGAGGTTCCAGGTTCCCGGCTTCGGATCGGTGTAGCACCAGCCATTTCCGTCACTTGGGGAGTAAATCATCAGACGAAAGATCTTCCTCTCTGTCTCTCCTCTCTGTATATCTGACTTTGTAATAAAAATAAATAAATCTTTTTTAAAAAAACCCACATAGCCACCAACTGATGAAATGATGAACACAGTATATCCATTCAATGGGTTATTAATAAAAGGAACAAAGAACAAACACATCCTCCAACAGGGTGAAGGCTGAAAACATTATGCTAAACCAAGGAAGCCAAACATAAAGGGCCACAGATTACCACATGATTCCGTTTATATAAAATGTTCGCAACACCAAATCCATAACAATACATTAGTGGCTGCCAGAAGCAGAACAGGAGGAAAGGGAATACAGAATAACTGTTAATGGAAATGGGGTTTCCTTTCAGTAATCAAAAAAATTTATTTATTTAGGGCATGAGCAAAGGCTCAGTGGTGAAATCCTCGCCTTGCATCCACCAGGAACCCACAGAGTTCATGTCCGGCTGCTCCGCTTCCCAGTCAGCTCCCTGCTTCTGACCTGGGAACGCAGTAGAGGATGGTCCAAAGCCTTGGGACTTGCATCCATTGGGAGACCAGGAACAAACACTTGTTCCTGGCTTCAGATTGGCTCAGCTCTGACCACGGCGGCCACTTACAGAGTGAATCAGCAGATGTAAAATCTTTCTATCTCTTTCTGTAAATCTGCCTTTCCAATGAAATAGATAAATCTTTTTTTACATATAAAGATTTATTTTTATTATTTTTTTATTGGAAAGGCGGATATACAGAGAGGAGAGACAGAGAGGAAGATCTTCCGTCCGAGGATTCACTCCCCAAGTGAGCGCAACGGCCGATGCTATGCCGGTCCGAAGCCAGGAGCCTCTTCCAGGTCTCCCACGCGGGTGCAGGGTCCCAAAGCTTTGGGCCGTCCTTGACTGCTTTCCCGGGCCACAGGCAGGGAGCTGGAAGGGAAGTGGGGCCGCCGGGATAGAACCGGAGCCCATATGGGATCCCGGGCGTGCAAGGCGAGGACCTTAACCACTGCGCCACTGTGCCGGGCCCGAAACAGATAAATCTTTAAAATATATATACATATATAAAAGAGTTAGAGAGATAAAGACTTTC